GTAAGGGTAGCCCCATATATACTACATTGCAATCAGGGGGTGAAATGCTCCCAGTTCGGACCGGATTGCCCGATCCGGTAGCGATGGAGGCGGATTGTTCGGAGAACTGGTAGCAAAAATCCCTGCCCCCCCATGCCCAGCTGAGCCACACAATCATCAGAGGCTTTTTTAAAAAAACTTTTAAAAGCTTTTTCTACAACTTCTTCGGGAAAAAATGCTTTTAAAAGTAAAAAAAAAAAGCCTCTGAAGATCGCACGGCTCAGCTGAGATCATCAAAGGCTTTTAAAAGAAAAAAACCCCTTTTTTTCTTTTAAATGCCTCTGGCGATATAAGCTGAGTTGACTGATTGCCAGAGGCTTTTTAAAAAAGCCTCTGATGATCAAGCAACTCAGCTGGGATCATCAGAGCCTTTTGAAAGTATTTTTTTACAACCTCTTCGCCGAAGAGGCTGTAGAAAAAAGGTTTTAAAAGTAAAAAAAAAATTGGTCACGCCCACCGAGTCACATTATCCACCCCCCCCCACCAAGCCACGCCCACAGAACTGGTAGTAAGAAATTTTAGATTTCACCACTGATTGCAATAATCCAAAAAATCAAAAATTATAACTGAGCAATTCCAATATATAAATAGAAATGTGATAATGGCTACAGTTGCACCTAAATGGGGGAGGCAGCTGTTCCTCATCTGAGGGGATCTGCTGCCTCTGAAAAACCACTGCCTGTCTGCAGCTGATCCTGCCCTGTGTCTGTGAGGGCAGACAGCTGTCCCGGGCAAGACCTGGGAGAGCATCATCCTGAGCCCCTCCAGACATGTCAGAGGAGATGTGCCATCTCTGAGGGTTGAGTCTTTTGAACACATTAATTTCCACATGTCCTTCAGAAAGAAAAGATTTGTTGGAAGAATATTGCACAGTCTTTCTCACAGTGGTAAAAGCAATATAATAAATTTATGAATAGAATTTTTGCAGTTTTATTTGTTGGCAAGCCTGAAAGAAAGGCAAGATTGAGAGCTTTAAAGGGTTTGGCTCAAGCAAGGAGACATTTGCATCCCCTAGTTCAAATGTCCAGATGATGCCAACTATCCCTGCCTAACTTCAGGAAGAAGATGATGTTCTCAACACCATACATAGGAGAGTGTGTAAGATGTTCCTACAAATTTCAATCATATTTATGTAACCCTGTAAACTGGGATATAAAATCTATTATTTTGGCTTGACTTTGAGGCATGGATATATTAATTGGCTGTCTTTTTCCTAATATGGTCCCTTATCAGATTAATTGACACTTTCTTTTAACTATAATGTGGTTAGCTCATTTCCCTTTCAAGCCATTAGCTATATCTGGTCCATCACTTTTCACATTCAACATTTCATCCTCGACAATTATCATCTCCTACATCCTATTGTGAGATTTGTTTGGAAAAATCACGCAACACAGTAAGGTACTGGCCGTACTCCTTGTGGTGAATAATTCTCATATTTATTCTGGTTATAATATTGAGAATCCCCCAAACTCTGACCAATTTGTAATATCAATATCTTTGCAAAATATATAAACAAACATTTCTTGTCTTGAGGAGGCCAAAAAAAATTTCAACTTGTCTTTTTTTGCAATCCCAAAATATGGAAACTACCATGGAAATATCAACTTTTTTGGGAAACATTGTAATTAAAAATGTCCATTACTAACCAAAAATGACCAAGATGACATTTTGCAAGTAAATAAAGGAAGAATTTAAAAGTGAAATTTGAGTTAATAATTTTATTTATGATAAAGAATGATTTCTATTGCAGTGAATAATAATCCAGCATTATTCATCATCCATTTAGAAATTTATATAACAAGCTGTAGCCACCCAGGAAAGAAGGAAGGAAGGAAGGAAATATGGAAGGGAGGGAGGGAGGGAGGGAGGGAAGAAGGAAGGAAGAAGGGAGGGAGGGAGGAAGGAAGGAAGGAAGGAAGGAAGGAAGGAAGGAAGGAAGGAAGGAAGGAAGGAAGGAAGGAAGGAAAGGCCTTAAACAAGAAGCAGAAATTATTCAAGGGCAATGGAGCAGAGATCTTGCTATTTTCATCATCATTCATTTCTCAAGCTGATGGATCAGAAAGATGCTGTAAAATTGTTGAATGTCTGGAGATGCCAAATCACTTTCATCAACTGGGAAGCCTGTTATGGATTACAAATTACATATAAAGCTTAAATAAATAACAATCCATAGATACACAAATATCTATATTTCTATAGATATTCTATAGATATTTCTACCAGTTTCAAGAGTACACATTTTGTGAGACATTGCCAAAATAATCAGCCAAATGTTATAGTTTAAAAAAACCTCACTCAGTCTGGGTTGGAAGAGTCTAGTTGTAAATGGAAGAATTTAAAATAAGAGGCAAGGACCAGCTGCTATGGGAAGTTTAATTGCCAAGAAATTAGGTTTCCATGTGGCTGCTCTGAAGTTTAGGGTAGCTCATCACAAGCATGGTGAATCAGAGGTTGCTGAGGTCAAAGCAATATCAGTGTTCCCCAGAGAAGGAAAGGAAAGAATGTGGGGTAGATTAGGATATAGGGCTAAAGTGAAGGGAGCATGGAGGATATTTCCTTTTTGCATGAAGAACATGGTAACCTGGAACCCATTGCACGCTGAGAGGAAAGTACACATAAAGTAGTACCTGAGTTACGGAAATTATTTTGCAGGCCAACATTCTTTTCCACAAAAAATGAAACAGCACTTCTCATTTGGCTGGCAGTCACTATCTGTCTGGCACTTAGGTTTAAATTTCCTACAAATTATCCTAACGAATGGACATTGCCCTGGATGTATTGTAATAGTACTTCAGGTACACCCTGTTTGTTCTTCAAACTTTGAGTATTAGTGTATACGTATTTGAGTCCTTTATGGCTGATCCTAAGCATGCTTCCTCCATCTCCTCCTTTGTATCTGAATTTTTCTTCCTTCCCATCACTCCCTCCCTCCTTATTTGATTGGTTTTCTTGGGTTTATCCTTGGGATTAGGTCAGGGGTAAAATGCACTTACCTTCACTACCGGATTGCAAATGTGAGAGTGCACATATGCAGAGGGTCAAAAACAGGACGTGATGATGTCTGGGTGGGTGGATCGAGCCTCCTGCCACCAGCCATACCGGATCACGTGAGCCGGATAGATTCGGCTGAATTTCACCACTGGATTAGGTCCTAAAGATCCTAAAGTTTGGTAGCCCCCTCAATTTTAGTTTGAAGCCCCTCTGATAAGTTGAGCCAGTCATTTTCCAAATATATTTTTCCCAGTTCTTCTGAGGTGCAGCTCACCCCTAGCCATAAGCCTTCATGTTGGTAATGCAGACCATGGTCTAGGAATTCAAAGTTCTCTTGGCAGCACCAACCCTTTAGCCAGTGGATCATTTCTAAAATCCTTTGTTGGATGTTGATCTTTTGTTGGAAGTACAGATGAAAACACTTGTGCTCCTAATTCCTTAACTTTCTTGCCTAGCTACTCGTAACCTCTTGATATTGTTTTCAGGTTCATTGTCGTGTTGTTCTTCCTCACATGAAGGAGAAGAAAGAAATAGTAATGTGTGGGATTTATTATTTTAATAAGGTTCTCAGCCACATCTTTGATTTTTGCTCCAAGGAGACAACATACCTGATACACATTGATCTATAGTTTCCTGGATCTATTCCCCCTCCCCCCCCCTTTTTTTTTTGAAGATGGGAACTACATCAGCCCTTAAATTAGTGAGGGATTGTGCAAAAATGGATATTCAATTGTGACATAATTGCCTAGACTGAGGCTTAGGTCCCTATGGGACTGCTGGTTCTTTTACATTTGTCAGGGCTAGAATGACCCACATCTCATTGGTAGAATAATGCCATCATAGTACCCAAGAGATGTGTCTTGTTTGTAGACTCTGTCTTCTAACACAGCATTCCCCAGACATCTGCAAGGCCCTGACACTATTATGCCTTTGGAAAACAGTGGTGCTTTGTCTTTTTCAGCAGACCAGCAGACACAGCAGTCTGAGGCCTTGTTTGTGATCTCCCACATAACTACATTGTTTCCCCAGTGTGAGTTTTTTCTTACTCTTATTTATTTATTCATTTTTGTCAAGCATGTATTAGATAATAGATGTAAGTATAAACATGATTATGAATACATGAAATTGATACAAATAAAAGGGAACATTAGGACAGGGATGGTAGGCACGTTGGTGCGCTTATGCACGGCCCTTACAGACCTCTTAGGAATGGGGTGAGGTCGACAGTAGATAGTTTAAGGTTAAAGTTATGGGGGTTTGGGGAAGAAACCACAAAGTCAGGTAGTGCATTCCAGGCATTGACCACTCTGTTGCTGAAGTTGTATTTTCTGCAATCGAGTTTGGAGCGGTTTACCTTAAGTTTGTAACTATTGTGTGCTCATGTATTGTTGTGGTTGAAGCTGAAGTAGTCACTGACAGGTAGGACATTGTAACAGATAATTTTATGTACTACGCTTAGGTCAGACCGAAGGCGGCATAGTTCTAAGTTGCCTACATTATGTTGTTTCACTATTGGACATCTATTTCAATCTATTTCTGATACATGGTTTTAAGGCACTTGGAACTGCTTTGACAATTCAGGGGGGCAGTAAACTGATTAAATACTTTCCCCATACTGTATTATAGTTCTTGGGGTTTTTTTTCAAGGAAACCTGATTTCTGTTCACATATAGAGTAGGCTGAAGCTTTTTCTCAAAATAATTTATCGTCAGTCTAAATGGCTTTTCTCTGCCCTCTGGTGGTGGTGCTTATGAACTCATATTTGTATCGTACTGTTTTACAAAGCATAGAAAAGGACTCTTCTTATTTAGATTGAACAATCTGGAATTAACCCCCTACCTGACCAGAATTTTTGTTACTTACATAACAAACTACAGAATGCATAATACACCATGCATTGTTTTCTTTTACCATAGAAGAGGTACCATATCCATTAAAATAATATATCATGACTCTGGAGAAGTTAATATATTGCAGAAAAAAGTTTTCAAACTCATTTATTTATAAACTGATATTATTTGTAGCATCAAAATTATATGGTGAATTATAATTACAATATTATTTTTTGCATTATAAATACAGAGTGAAATCTCATTTTAAAAGACTGTTTGTGGGGAGGGCTGTCTATCAGACTTGGCTATCTGTTAAATTCAAAAATAAGTCATTGCAGTGATTTACATCATTTGCAATGATTTACATCATTCACTTAATTGTGTTATTATGCAAATGATGATTTTTTTTATCATGTGGACAAATTTATATTATTAACATAATCACGTGAATGATTACCATTTGCATAGTGTTATCTCTGAAACAAACGTGCTGTTTTGGAGATATATGGGAAGAATATTTGGTATGTTCTATTCAAAGTGTGTTAAATAAGGGTCTGTTAAATCAAGGTTGCACTGTATCTGCTTTTTTCTATTCTTTGCTTTTAGATGACCTGCCATGGCACAGTGGTTAGAGTGCAGTACTGCAGGCTACTTCTGCTGATCATCGGCTGCCAGCAGTTTGGCAGATCGAATGTCACCAGGCCAAAGGTTGACTCAGCCTTCCATCCTTCCGAGGTCAGTAAAATGAGGGCCCAGATTGTTGGGGCAATATGCTGACTCTGTAAACCGCTTAGAGAGGGCTGTAAAGCAGTATGAAGCGGTATATAAGTCTAAGTGCTATTGCTAGTATGCTTTCACCCAACAAGCAAAATCATGGTTTGTTTTATCCAGGTTTTATCAAATAGGCTGAATCCACACATAACTTACCAATCTCATACATCATGCCATATCAAAGTCAAATAAACCAAGTAATTATTTAATGCAATTTATGGACTTGGTTAAAGTTTTATAACCATAAAAATGGACAGCAGAAGAAAATAAACTATCCATCAGTTCTGAAATGATCAAAAAGTTGCTGTTGCAGAGATACATTCAGGAATTGTGTTTTTGTGAGGTGGACTGGAAATCCTATTTTATTTTTAGGTTTATATAATAGATTTCAAACCCAAAAAAACATAACCGGCTAGATGGGTGCACATATTTTTAACCATTGCTCATGAGAAGGAATTCAAGAATGATATAAAGAAGCACTTTGCTGGCAACTGTGTCATCTTCTCCATAAACAGGCAAACCAAGATCGATTTCTTTGGTACATTGCCTTAATATGTAACTTTGATTCAATGTAAAGCAATCTCTGGTCATCCAAGTCAAATTCTGGCCTATGCAAAAACAAAAACAACCGTCTTGGAAACTTTATAATGAATCACATATTTAAATTTCTTTTGATTCAATCTGTTCAGCTAATTACTACTATGATGTTGGATGGACGAGAGAGAGAGTCAATCAAATGAAAGCATTTTCTAGCAAATTTTCCATAGGATGGAAAATTTGATGAATTCTAGCCTAGGTATTTGAGGGATGTTGGTATAGTTTGACAACAGAAAGCCTGGAATAAAAAGATAGAAAAACACCCTTGATCATGCAAAACAGAACAATTGTGATCAAATGTTCTTGTGTATATACAGTATACAATTTCTGTTTAGATCATATGCCAAACCAGCTCAATTAAATACTTGCATATTTGGAACAAAAAAAAAGGGGGGGGGAGCTAAAATTAAAACAAAAAAACCCTGGAACTTGTAAAGAAAAAAAACCACAATTTATCTGATTTGGTATTTGCTTTGAGAAAAGTCTGGTAGAAAACATTTTTTTAAAACAGATGGGAACAATCCTTTCTGTAGGATTGAAAGGACCATAATGGGCCATTTGTCTAAACCCTACTCAGGGTCCAAAGCAGGGGTGGGCTGCTGGGGGTTTGCAGGGGTTCGGGAGAACCTCTACTTAAGATTCTGTGCAGTTTGGAGAATCCCCAAATCCCACTCCTAGCTGACCCTGACCTGTCCACCCCACTCCTCCCAGGAGTCCTCACGTGGCCTGTTTTGGATGCAGGTAAGTGCAGGGTGCACATGGAGGCTTTGGGAGGGCAAAAAATGGGCCTACCAGAAGTTCAGGAAGAGGGCCTCCAGAGCCTGGGGAGGCCGTTTTCGCCCTCTGGAGGCTCAAAGAAAGCCTCTGGAGCCCGGGGAAGGCAAAAACACCCCCTCCCATCGTGGTGCAGGAGGCTGACTAGGCCACGCCCACCATGACCATGCCCACCCAGCAACCGGGCAGAGAACCCCTTGCTAAAATTTTTGAAGCTCACCCCTGGTCCAAAGGTCTGGCAAAAGAAGAAATCATAGGTCTGGTAGGAGACCTCTAAGGAAGCATAGTAGTAAAAAAACATTTCCACAATTGTCCCATTTGAAGGAGAGGGTTTAACTATTTGGAAAGCACCAAAAAATAATGTCTGAAATCAATCAGAAAGTATTTTTGATTGGTCTAGTAGCAATTAAGTTAAGGCTCATCTCTCAGGATTCTAGATTGTTCTGATAACCAGTGAGATAAAGCAAAATGATACATGAGAAAGAATTGATGATGATACCTTATTTACAGATCTTAGAGCAATTGTAGTAGCAACACCTTTGTCTTCCTGGACAATCATAGTCATAACGACAGCGATGTATTCCCGGGATGGTGCATTTAAATGGATTTCGTGGGCAACTCCAAGGAAGCACTGAAATGGAGGGGAGGGAGTGGAGGGGGGGCAGAATTGTTGTTAACCATTAGTCAAACACCAGCTCATTTTCATCATTTTTTGGAAGATAGTGCAGCCCTATGTTGTCTTTCTAAGCCATGGTGGCAATTAAAAAGTCCCACATTTTAAGAGAGGAGCTTCAGTTACATGTTTTGACTTTGATGTTTGTTTCCAGTTTGAAGCACATTAAAGACAGACTCATACTGTCAGTGTCAGAGTTGAAACATACCTGAAACCGCTTGATGCAATCTATAAAAATAGACCCAAATATGCAAGGGCCTATTGGGTAGATTGCATGAAAAGAAAAAAGAGCAGATTCCATCACAGAGTAGGCCCTAGAAATCACATTTTGGAAAAATTTCAGGAACAGTTAGAAAAGATCCCTACTGGTCATTTTGTCTGCAAGACCCCTAATTTCAAGAACCAATTTACTGAGCCTTACATATCCCACCCATAAATTCCCTTCTGAAAGGCATATCTTATCAGAGAATCAAATCTACCAAATTGATGTTGATATTAAGATACCCAGTCCAGAGTCCCCAGCTTCTCTTCTTGCATAGGAAACCAGGCCCAGAGCTGTAAGAAATAAGATCATTCATTAAAATTAAGATTACCTGGTGGGACTCTACAACTTCTGCTACATTTGAAATTACAACACCGTAGGGTCTGAGGGCAGTCGTAATCACTCTTGCAACGATTAATTCCAGGTAAAGAGCACGGAAATGGATTTCCTGGGGAAATACCACATCCTGTTGAAAGAAAGAAAAAAAAAATCAATGCAGAATATCCAAATACCTTTTACAAATTATTTTTTTAATTGTAATGTACTTGCCCAGCAGATTCTGACAGATTCTAGAGAACCGATAGCGGAAATTTTGAGTAGTTCAGAGAACCAGTAGTGGAAATTTTGAGTAGTTCGGAGAACCAGCAAATGCCACCTCTGGCTGGCCCCAGAGTGGGGTGGGAATGGAGATTTTGCAATATCCTTCCCCCAGGAGTGGGAAGAGAATGGGGATTTTGCAGTATCCTTCCCCTGTCACACTCATCAAGCCACGCCCACCAAGCCACACCATGCCCACCAAGCCACGCCCACAGAACTGGTAGTAAAAAAATTTGGATTTCACCACTGTATTTGCCCATAGCAGCAGTGGATTGCCCCCAGTTCAGACTGGTTCACAAGAACCGGTAGTAAAACTGGCAGGAGGGTCCGCCCACCACCCCAGATGTCATCATCGGCGATCTGCGCATGCACAGATCCCATTGCAAACCAGTAGTAAAGGTAAGTAGAACCCATCCCTGGCCCATAGCACTAATCATGAGTAAGATCATGTATTGATCATATGAAACCTATGTTATATTTTCCTACATATACTTTATATTTAGATTCTACTTTTTTGTACCTGTTCTATTTTAATAATTGCCCCGCTCCTTCTTTATTACCCTTTGCCCAATCTGAAATATAAATGAATATATTCATGTACACACCAACAGGCTTTTCTAGATAAACAAACTCTCTCCTAGCTTTCTGAGGGCACAATTCAAATGTTGCAAATAACTCTTTATGATTACCAGATACTATAGAATGCACGTGTTTATAATACTACAAGACTACAACAATCACAGAGAACTGACAGCCAATCAGAGCTTACACTTTTTGGCCAAAATAAAAATACCAAGATACCTTATCCAATCAGTGCTTATTTGCCAGCTAGGAAAGAGACGTTCATTTATCTCACCATAAAGAGAGAGAGAGAGAGAGAGAGAGAGGGAGGGAGGGAGGGAGGGAGGGAGGGAGAAAGAAAATAAACTGGGGAGGGGAGCAGTTACTTCTCACAATAGCACACCCCTTGGAATACTAATTCTATATTGGAACATTTTATATAATTATGCATCTTCTTATCAAAATTGGACAGTAGGAATTGGGAGGTATGATGCAGAAGGCATTCCTTATAATGGCCACCCCAAGCAAGACAATGTTGTAATCACTCTTGCTCGTGCAGTAACATTTGCTGCCTGAAAAGAGATCTCCTCAAGACTGCAGCAGAAAAATGCTACAGAAACTGCACACTGGTGTACCATGTCATTTGATCAGCAGGAGGCATAATTCAATTTAATATTGCAAATGCACTCCCCTCTGGAAGAGCCCTAAGTATATTTTCTGGAAGTACCATGACAACTAAATGTGAGGAAGAAAGCAAAAGAAAATATCGTATAGAACACTATTTCTCATCACCCTTTACAACAATTTACAGCTAGTCACTTAAATTTATTTGGGAGACCCGAAGGATTATTTGCTACAATTATAATTTGTTGTGATTATATTCAATTTGCTCTGCACTGTGAGTATCATATTGTACTGTTAATCGTTGGAAAGCAAATTATAAAGTTACTTAAATAAACTGAATTTAAGTTTAAGCCCACCAAATATAGAGCAGATCTTGTCTTTTTCTGTACACTGAGAGCATATGCACCAAGGACAAATTCCTTGTGTGTCCAATCATATTTGGCCAATAAAGAATTCTATTCTATTCTATTCTATTCTATTCTCTGATTTTAGTTTTAAATAGAGTTAACAATGGCTTCCTACAGACTAATTTCTTTGTCAAACAGGCCCCCCTACCAAGGATTTTGTATCTTACCAAACAGAATCTTGGAAGACGTAGAGGGTAATCCTATCCAAAGGGCTAAAAGACCCACAAGAAGCAAGCCAGTCAATGTCTTCATGATGTCCTCAAAAGTCAGATGTGAACTCTCAGAAAGCAATTAGGCTCATATTTAAACAGATGTGTGGGTAGCTTTAAGATGACACCTTTCCACATCTTCCTCATGCCTGATATAGCAACTGCATAACAGCATACAGAAACCCAAAATAATTGCTTTACTCTGTCTTCACAGATAGCATGGACTTGTGCCACGCGAGGACTAGAACCAAAGGGCGTGACATCTAAAATGCTCCCGTATAAACATCCTTACTTCAAACAACTCTTGTGAGCCACACCCTAATTGTAGCATCTTCCAACACGTGAAGAAAACACAGTCAACCTGAGAACAGTAGAAGGGCAGGGATTTCCTCATTAAGGAAGCTGGACTTCCTATATTCTAACTAATAATTGGAGATAGTTAGGGCTGATACTTACTAAGGAAAATTACAGAATAGACAGAGGGTGTGGTGGGGTGTGGTGAAACATAACTCAATGGTACAAAATAACAATTTTCTAAAGAAATATGCCATACAATCAAGTTACAATGATCTCAAGAGGGACATCCCTTCTAGTGGACAAGATGAAGCAGTTGCCTCAGGTGAAAGATGATAAGTGGGGGTAGGAAGGACATGTCCTGTGACACCAAAGTCTGATTATCAATATCTGATGCAACGGAAGAAGTGATCCATCATCAGTGTTGACTTAGGATGTGATTATCAGTATTGTTTTAAAGCCATCTTTTAGCCCAGAGGTCCTCAAACTTTTTGAACAGGGGGCCGATTCATGGTCCCTCATACTGTTGGGGGGGCCAGACTGGCTAGGTGGGCGTGGCTAGGTGGTCATGTGACTGGGTGGGCATGGCTAGGTGGTCACGTGACTGGGTGGGCGTGGCCAATTTAGCAGTCCATTTTGCCTTTGTCCCTGCTGGGCTTACTCAGCCCAAGGAATCTATTTACTTAAGACCCCCCCCCCATCAAGGGAAAAAGAGCACAAACTTTCTTGCCACTTGCCTAACTTCATTACAACAGCAGCTTCAGGCTCCTTAAAACAGGCCATTAAAAAAAGAATAAATCAAACAGGATTTCCTTCAAAATAACTCCTGATCATATGTTTCAGTTGCCCTGGGATTACAGGGCTAAAGGTCTTTTAAACCTGGAAGAGAATTCACAAACGGATTTGCTTTTTGCCACACTTGTGCACAGGAATATCTACCAAAATTGTTCAGCAACCAATTTGGTGGATGTACTTTATATATGGCAAGAATCAAAGCAGTGGGTGAATTCTCCTTCAGGCATTATACTATGGTTGCATTTGAATTAGTGTTAGCCAACTTCAGCTGATTTTGAAAAAGCTAGGAGACATGGAGACATGTTCCCCACCCACCCACTTTTAAAGCGCTACTTTAAAAGCAGCCCCTCCCCTACTCACCCACCAGCCCTGGATCATATGGCTGGAAAAATATCCTGAAAGGCTGTTTTTAAAAGTGTTTTTAAAGACTTTTAAAGCATTACTTTACAAGCTGGCAGCTGCTTTTCAAGCCAGTAGCAACCCCTCCCCTACTCATCCCACCTGGCCCTGGATCACGTGGCTGCACTGGTGAGATCACCCCTCAGTCAGCTGGCCCTCCCCCAGACCCTTCGGCCTTACCTTCGGCAGCAGCGGTATGATCAGAAGTGCAACTCAACCAGTGAAATAACTAACCAGAAGTGCAGCTGGAGTGGATGCTCGCTGGAAGATAAGGCCGATGGTGAGGGGCAGAGTGAGGGGTGGGGCTGAATCCCACCACTCCGCGAGCTGGATACTTTGCATTGGCGGGCTGTATCTGGCCCGGGGGCCATAATTTGAGGATGCCTGTTCTAGCCCCTTTGAAAGCTGTTATTGGTGGAGAAGTAGGAATTAAATTTAATAACATCAATAGAACAATCAGGATTGGAGGCCATTGCTAAATACTGTGAAATAGCATCTAATAATTTAACATTGTTTTATACAATGGTGTCCATAGTGTATTTTTGCCATTCTGAATATCCCATATTTTAATTTTATTAGATGATACTAGTGGTATTGGGGTGAGGAGGAGGAAGAGTTTTTCTATCTAATACTCCACAACACACATGATTTTATAATGATTCGTCTTTCTCTCTTTTTTTTCCGATTTAAAAACTTCAGTGTCTTCAGTGTCCCCTTAAATAAGGGACTTACTTCAACTCTGATGAGAAAGCCATGAGTCGAAGGCAAGATGATAGAGAAAATGGTCCAGTACCTCACCAGGCTCAAGGTTGACTCAGACTTCCATCCTTCCAAGGTGGACCCAGATTGTTGGGGGCAATATGCTAACTCTGTAAACCACTTAGAGAGAGTTGTGAAACACTATGAAGCTGTATATATGTCTAAGTGCTATTCCTATTGATACCTGCAGCAAAGAGAGATGAAAAAGATGGTAATACTTCTTATATCATAAGTAGTATGATGTAAGTATTCTTACAGTATGATGTAAGTATTACATTCTCTCTCTCTCCCACTCCCTATCCCCCTCCCTCCCTCCCCCGCCTCTCTCTTTCATATGTATACAGACCCATACAAAAAATTACATGGATTAGCACTGTAGGATAATTCCCATCATTATGTCAAAGCGGGGAACATAAACATTTGAATGGTGATGCCCTGTTCCCTAAAATCTGGAATCTCTATCTTGATTCCTTTATAAATGTATAAAAGGAATTGACTACATTTCAACCACGTGATATATTTGGGGAATGTTAACTTTGTTTGCCTCTTTGTGTTGTGATTAGTTTGTATTTCAGTACATTGTGCTCAATCAAAAAAATGCTTAATTTAATCACTGGTTAAATATTCTATGTTAATTGAGAATTTTATTAAGAAAATCATTTTATCCAGTCCCTTTCCTTCCACTCACAATTTTTCAGTACATATTAACTTCTCCACCATCCTTTCTGTTCATGACAAATGGCTAAGCAACTGAATTAATTGATAAATGATATAATGAAGAATGGTTGTTGCCAGGTAAAAGCCAAGTATTTCACAGAGCACAGGTTCTCCAGAAATGTTCCCTAGGCAGGGTGCAAAACACATTGCCCAATGAGAACATTTCTTCCCACCCAGCATCACTCTCAAACTCATTAGCTTCAGCATGAATGCTTCTGATACGATCTGTTGGGCAGATCCCAGGTTTCCCTGTGATTACTAAGATTCATAATACCTATAACAAATAGGTTGAAGGACAGCTCTTCCCATATCCAGTAGGGTAGCATTATAGAGTTCAAACTACACAATCCTTACTTCTGTGTGGGTTTCTTCCATTGTTTTTAATCTAAAACAAGTACCAAAAGTGGATTCCTCAACTGGTGATTGGAGTGGATATCCAAAACTTATCTGAGCCTGAGCCTGAGTGGCGTAGGAGGCTAATGCCTCCTACTAAGGCAGCATTTAACATCCAGCTGCCTGCAATTACTGCGAGTTCAATTCTCACCAGGCTCAAGGTCGACTCAGCCTTCCATCCTTTCTAAGGTGGGTAAAATGAGGACCCGGTTTGTGAGAGCAATAAGCTGACTTTGTATAAAATATACAAAAGTATGAAGGCTATTGCTTAACGCATTGTAAGCCGCCCTGAGTCTCCGGAGAAGGGCGGCATATAAAAATAAATTTAATTTTTTTTTAAAAAAAAATCTAGTTTTCATTTTATAAATAAAAGATAAATAGGTACCCATCATTCCTCCCTCTGGACCAATAAGTAGGATGAAGTGCAATAGAAAAATACAAATGCATAGCCTTTAGGTTTTGGAAAGTTGATTCCACCAAACATCCTGAAGTTCAAATGCTGGTCTTACCTTCAAAAAAATGTTGAAATGTTGTTGATGGAAGTGAGTTCTTCCTTGATGGATTGGCAAGAGAGCCAACTATTCTTAAATGATCCAATTTCAGGTTTTCATATTCCACGGTGATAACTAGACTGATCACTATTACTTTAACAGACACATAAAGGGGCAGGTTTTTCCATAGATCCCGAGAACAGCACATTACAGTAGTCCTCAACGGACGACCACAACTGAGCCCGAAATTTATGTTGGTAAGTGAGTTTTGCACCATTTTACGACTTTCCTTGCCACATTTGTTAAGTGAATCACTAAAGCTGTTAAATTCGTAAAGCTGGGTTGTTAAGTGAATCTGGCTTCCCCATTGTCTTTGCTTGTCAGAAGGTCGCAAAAGGTGATCCCATGACCCCGGGATACTGCAGCCGTCATAAATATGAACCAGCTGTCAAGCATCCAAATGTAAATCCCATGGCGGTGGGGATGCTGCAAAGGTCATAAGTGTGAAAAATGGTCATAAGTCATATTTTTCAGTGCCTTTGTGATTTCAAATGGTCACTAAATGAACTGTTGTAAGTGGAGGACTACCTGTAATTTGAAAAACACAGTAAGGCTGAGCTTCACTTAGTTTTCTGTTCTCCATCATCTTGTCACCATTCTATCATCCTTTTCAAGGTTGTTTCCAAGATTGAACCATCAGGCTAAGTAGTGTCCCTGTGGCTTAGACTATGCAAATCTTTTAGAGGCATTGTTCTGCCTCAGCTACGGATCCCAAAGAACACACCACACACAAACTCTGAACAAAACTTAGTTTACTCAAATAAAGCAGTTTTAGCAAATGCCAGCTGTTAATAAGCGTTCTTAACAGCCTGCTAGAATTCCACAGATAAGATAGTCAGAGTCTTACTGAAGTTGGCAGAAAGCCAGAAGCAAGATTGCAGAGAAATCCCAACGCGATGATTAGCGAACTAAAGTTGTTTCCTGCAGCTTGTTGCAAGCTGCGTTCTTTCTTAAATAGGCTAAGGAAGTGGCCAATTAGCCCCAAGACTTACTCTCGAGGAGACCTCCTCCTGAGGAACCACTCCTGCCTTTTGGCAGCTCTGAGTGCCCGTGCATTGAAAAGAGGCTCCTCCTCTTCACCCTCTTCACTTAAAGAAGCCTCTACAGGTTCTGAAGGCTCTGACTGAATCCCTGCCTCTGGCACCACATCTTCTTCAGCCTCCTCACTGTCCGACTCGAGTGCCGGCTGCACAGGCTGCCGGTGCA